AGAAAATTTAAACAGATCAATTTCAAGCAAGGAAATTGAAGACACAATCAAAAGCCTACCAACAATAGGGCAGAAAAGATGGTGAAATGAGATGGACATCATTATCCTAGGTACATGTAAGACTGCATATATGGTGCAATGCTACATTGTGTACAGAGAAATAAAAAGTTGTGATGAAATTACATACAATGAATCAAAATGCATTCTGCTATCATGTATAGCTAATTAAAATAATTTTTTTTAAAAAAAGGCCTACCAACAAAGAAAAGACTAGGATCAGATGGATTCTCAGCCAAGTTCTTACCAGATCTTCAAAGAACTAATACCAATCCACCTGAAATTATTCCATGAAACAGAAAAGGAGGAAACTCTTCTAAACTCATTTAATGAAGCTAGTATCACCCTGATATCAAAACCAGAAAAAACACATCAAGGAAAGAAAACCTCAAACCAATATCCCTGATTAATACAGATGCAAAAATTAATAAAATACTGGCAAATCACATATAAGAACATAAAGAGGACAATATGATCGAGTGGGGTTCAAAAGAGAGTAAAAGATGATCAAGCGGGATTTATCCTCAGGATACAAGTCTGGTTCAACATAAAGGAATCAATAAACATAATTCATCATATCAATAAACTTGAAAGATAAGAATCACATGATTATCTCAACAGATGCAGAAAAAGCATTTGACACAATATAGCTAGCATGCATTCATGTTCAAAACACTAGAAAAACTAGGGATAGTAGTAACATACCTCAATATTGTAAAAGCTATGTATGTTAAAGGCCAACATCAATCTAAATGAAGAAAAATTGAAAGCATTCCTTCTAAAAACTGGAATAAGACAAGGATGTCCTGTTTCACCACTTCTATTCAATGAAGTCCTTGACACTCTGGCAATTAGGCAGAAAAAAGAAATTAAAGGGATACAAACAGGAAAAGAAGAACTCAAACTACCCTTATTTGCTAATGACATTATTTTATACTTAGAAGATACAAAAAACTCCATCAAAAAACTTCTAAAACTCATAAGCAAATTCAGCAAAATAGCAGGATATAAAATTAACACCCGGGAGGGGAGGGAGGTGGGGATAAGGAGGGCAGCAGAATACAACAGACACTAGTATTGCTGTATGTATATACGTGACTGTATAACCAATGTGATCCTGCAATCTGTACACGTGGAAAAATGAGAATTCATACCCCATTTGAATCAAATGTATGATATGTCAAGATCATTGTATTGTCTCGAGCAACTAATAAAAAATAAAAATTAAAAAAAATTAACACCCATAAATCAATTGCATTCCTATACACCAATGATAAATCAACTGAAAAAGAAATTAGGAAAATTATCCAATTCACAATAGCCTCAAAGGAAAAAATATTTGGTAAGCAATCTTACAAAAAAAAGGTGAAAGTCCTCTATAATGAAAACTACAGAACACTGAAGAAGCCTAAAGACCTTAGAAGATAGAAGATCCCCTATATTCTTGGATAGATAGAATTAATATTTTCAAAATGGCCATACTATCAAAAACACTCTACAGATTTAATGCAATTTCTATTAAAATTCCAATGATGTCCTTCATAGAAATAGAGAAAGCAGTCATGAAATTCATTTGGAAAAATAAGAGACCCAGAATAGTGAAAGCAATCCATAGTTTAAAAAAAAGTGAAGCAAGAGAATCACAATACTAGACCTTAAATTATACTACAGTAATAAAAATAGTATGGTATTGGCACCAAAAAGACATGAAGACCAATGGTACAAAACAGAAGACATAGAGAAAAAGCCACATAAATACTATTAGCTCATATTAGACAAAGGTGCCATAAGCATATACTGGAGAAAAGATAGCCTATTCAATAAGTTGCGCTGGGAAAACTGGGAATCCATATGTAGCAAAATAACATTAACCCTTATCTCTCACCCTGCACAAAACTCAACTTAATGTGGATCAAGGACCTAGGCATTAGACCAGAAACCCTGCACCTACTGGAAGAAAATGTAGGCCCAATGCTCCATCCTATCAGCTTAGGAATCGAATTCCTCAACAAGACTCCTAAAACACAAGAAATAAAATCAGGAATCAATAAATGGGATGGTATCAAACTAAAAATCTTCACAATAGAGGACAATCAAAAATATGAAGAGAGCCAACAGAATTTGGGACAAAATCTTTACTACCTACCTGCACCTCAAATAAAGCATTAATGTATAACACAAAAAACTTCACACCAAAATAGCAGATAACCCAATCAATAAATGGGTAAAGGAAATAAAGAGGCACTTCAAGAAGAAATACAATTAGTCAACAAATATTCGAAAAAATATTCAACATTTCTAACAATTAAATAAATGCAAATTAAAACTACACTGAGATTTCATCGCATACCAGTTAGAATAAAAATTAAGAATACAAGTAACAATAAATGTTGGTAAGGATGTGAGGGAAAAAGTTACACTTATATGCCACTGGTAGCACCATACATTGGCACAAGCCTCTGGAAAGCAATATGAAGATTCCTCAGAAAACTTGGAATGGAACCACCATTTGATCCAGTTAACCTACTCCTTGGCATATACCCAAAGGACTTAAAATGAGCATACTATAGTGACGCAGCCAGATCAATGTTAATAGCAGCTCAATTCACAATAGCTAAACCATAGGAATCAACCAAGGTGCCCTACAACAGATGAATGGATAAAGAAAATGTGGTATATATACACAATGGAATATTACTGCCATAGAGAAGAATGAAATTATGGCATTTTCCAGTAAATAGATGGAATTGGAGACTATCATGCTAAGTGAAATAAGCCAATCCCAAAAAACCAGAGGCCAAATGTTCTCTCTTATAGGAAGATGCTAACACACAATAAAGTGAAGAGGGAAGAACAGAAGTTCACTGGATTAGACAAAAGAGAATGAAGGGAAGTGAGGATGGGAAAAGGAAAGACAGTAGAATGAACCAGACATAACTTTCCTGTGTTCATACCGGTCATTCATTATGGCCAAAGTAACTCCACATCACGTACAATCATAAGAATGGGTAATTATAGTCCATGTAATGTATAATATGTCAAAATACACTCTACTGTCCTATGTATCTAAAAAGAATAAAAATTTTTAAAAAAGAAAAAACTATGAATAAATAAGCAGGACTGCATTCTAATAAAACTT